TACTAGGAAAATGTAAGGAGTAGTTGAAAAGGCACTAAGATATCGGTATTAGCTGTTACAAGCAACAAAAGGAATCCTCCCTTGATGAAGGAATTAGGACTAGGCGCCTCTTAACAAGCGCCGACAACAAAGGACGACTAGTGCGGGGCACAAAGAGGGTCACGTGATGTGCCATCACGCCAAGACAGGGCTATTAGTGATAGCAGAGCCTGTATGTGAAGGCAACCGTCAGAGGTGGAAACTACTATTAGTGATGGCAGGTCAAACCTATGATGGCAGGTACAGATTGCAATAGGTATAAAGGATAGACGGATTTTATTATTACACTTGTTGTGGTCAACTTAAATAGTTTATCTCTTACACAGATTGTTAACTAGTTATTCTATCGCTTATAGAATTGGTATTGTTTATCCTTTAGTTAACAACGGTAACTCTTCTCCACCTAATTATTCTATACGATACCTCACAGACTACCGCTTTAGTCTATCTCGCCTTAGTACGGACCGAGCTTAGAGAAGTATAGCCTAACCCCGTGTAACATTAGCTTGTATTGAGACGAATTCTTGAGGAGCTATCAAGCCTCTCAGAAGGATAATATATATCTACGTCACGTGATCGTGGCTTGTATGGGCCGACGGTGTCCCGCAGGGTCCCCGGTGGCTCGCCCATCTGTGGCTGAGGTCATGTGATGCTGGAATATCATGACAGAAAAAGTGGCTCGTTGACTGCGCACGGACAGCAACAGCCCGTACAAGGTTTCCATCTAGAGTGTGAGAAGCCACGAGTTCGCGATACCCAACGTACCGCTGCGGTCGTATCAATGGCTTCGTGAGAGTAACAAACCTTACCTCGTTTACGAGACGTCTTCCGAGGCAGATGGAAGCAGAAGGACAGATTCGTGTGCCACCAACATGGCACCATGGACGCACCGCTGCGACAAGTACTAAAAAATCGGCAATAGGATTTGCATCACATCGTGTGATGCTCATGGTGGTTCTTGCGATGGGACCCAACCATAGCGAGATTCTTGAGAATTTGTGTGCGACGCAACGTGTGGACCGGGCGCCGGAGCACTCAACAATACTGAGGCGGTATTGCCGTGCACGATGGGCATCACGGCGTGATCCTATCGGGCCGCTGCGACAATCGCGGCAACGAGAAGGCGTCTGATGCTGCAGCAATGGCCAGATCTGTCGCGCCGTACTGTAGAAGACACAGCGAATGTGATAGCAGGCATGAAGGTTGACGCGACGGAAGATGCGACGCTGGACGCGCTGGCGGATCCGAGTGCTGCGGGGTCGGCTCTGCTCGACACGTCAAGCCGCCGCCGCCGCACCGAACACAGCCTCCGTCTGGCTTCACATGCAGCTATGCTACCCGCATCCCACTGTGCGACACGCGCAGATTATAATCCCGAAAACACAAAAGCTGCGCTGCGGATCTGTCACACAAAGTCAGCGTGCAGTACGTACCTCTTTTGTCATCACTGTGTTTATGTGACTTACAGGCCGCAGGATGCCGCCTCGAAGCTTGCCTTCACATCCCCAGGTGGATAAGTTGTTGAACGCCATCGATTCCGCCACTACATCCCGCCTGCGTACTGTGCTGAAGAGCCTGTGCGTCAAGAACCAAGCGAACCTTGCATACGCCCGAGACGCGCTGTTGCTTCAACCTGGCGTGCTGAAACGAGCCTGGTCAGAACGGAACAAAGACGGCGAGAATGACGACGATGACGAACATCAGTCAGAAGACGGTTCAGAAGACGATTTAGGTGACAGTTCAGAGGATAGTTTAGAGGACGCAGGAGCAGAGGACGAGTCTGAATACTCCGACTCTGAACCCAACGCGCCAGCAAGCAGGCAGCGTTTCGAGATCTGCGTGCAATGCGACAAGGAATACGACGTTCTTGAGAACCACAAGAGAAGCTGCGAATGGCACGATGGTAAGTTAGATATTTGCTTTTGAGCGGGACATATACCGGGAGGCTTCAGCCTGCTGAGCATATTCAGGTTCTCAAGAAGTAGATTGGGACGGCGACATCTGGGCAGATCACGACGAGAGGTGTCATGGCACGATTGATACAGAAGAGATGCGCAAAGTGTATCCAGAGGGCTTTTTGTGGGATTGCTGTGATATGCCTGGGGATGCAGCTGGTTGCAAGTCGAGCAGGCATCGACCGGATCGCACGAAGAGAGTGAGGCAGCCACTAGGTCACGCGAAAAGAGAGACAGAGAGAAAGAGAGCGAAGAGAGCAGAGGAGATAGAGAGCGCAAACTAGGGAGAAGAACAAACGTACAAGAAGAGTAAGAAAGAGAAGCCTAATCTATTGTGACAAGGACTGAGAAAGTTATTTGTACTTAGGACTTAGCTACAAAAGACGCATGCTTTTTCCGGGTAAGCAAGACGCGTTAAGCCTGCTTATAAGGTGCGCCTTGCTGTGAAGGTTATCCCTAGATTGTTACAAGCAACACAAAGGATTCTCTTTCTATGTTACACGGGGTTAGGCTACACTTCTCTAGGCTCGGTCCGTACTAAGGCGAGGTAGACTAAAGCGGTAGTCTGTGAGGTATCGTATAGAATGATTAGGTGGAGAAGAGTTATCGTTGTTAACTAAAGGATAAACAATACCAATTCTATAAGTAATAGAATAACTAGTTAACAATCTATATAAGAGATAAACTATTTAAGTTAACTATAATAAGTATAATAATAAAATCTGTCTATTCTTTATACCTATTACAATCTATACTTATTCTCTAGCTAAGCTTATTACTTCCTAGATGCGCCTAGTATCTCTAGATGTTAGATATCTAGAGAGGACCTAATATCTTAAGGTGTCTAGTCTTAGCGAGATGCTATCCTTATTACGTGATCTAGGCCCCGCCTTTAATTAGCAACCCTTTGTTGTAGTTTCCTAAAGGTCTCTCTCTATGCAACCTATATAAAGAAGCAATTCCTTATTACCTTATAACATTACCCCCCCTCTTTACGCGTATTGTCCTAATACTTTAGATTATTATTTTCCTGCGCCTAGTCTAGCGGTAGTAGTAGTAGTTTAGGTGTTCCTATAGTATTGTAACCTCTCTTTCCTTTTTTTCCTACTTCTCCTAACTATACCTAAGGTTTAAAAATCCTATAGTCTTTATTCTTAATCCTTAACTAAATAGAAGCGCGCTTACGCTGCTTGTGTTGTGCAGGAGGGTCTTAAAATAGATTTCTGTTGCAAGCGTTGTAAGAAGAAGAAGCTGCGCTGTTTTATAGAGACGACCTCTAGTTATTGCGCTAGCTATATTTTAGTAGGAGCTAAGTATAGTTTGTTTGTTTTAGAGCAGGAGTAGGAGAAAGTGCGTAAAGAACGCGAAGAGAAAGAGTTAGCAGTAGCTTGTCTAGAGGCGCAGTTATTGTAGTAGCGTCTAGAGCTTCTTAAAGTAAAGAAATAAGAATAAGACTTTGCTTGTCGCGATCTTGCTATTCTTTCTGTTTAGGATTGTGCAAAAGAGCAGGCTAAGGGGGATTCTGCCTTAGGTACAGACCTTCTAGCAACTAAACTACTGCTACCTAGATTATTAACTAACTTAGGCTAGTTACAGGCTAACGCTTCTTTTAACTCTTTTTCTAATTACTTTCTTTTCTTTAAAGACCTAGTCCTTGCTTTCCTA